CACAAAACACACCACAAGCCTCGCCGAACGTCTCCTTGCTACCGCGATCTCGCCCACAGGAAGCCGCGACAGCGTGGCAGCAGGGAAAATGGCCGCGGATCCGGTTCATAAGTAGAGGCGGAGTTCACGTGTCGAGGTAAATTTTTGGGGCCGGAGCTGGTCGTATCTTGAAAAATTCATAAGGAGGGGCGTTCGTAACTAGAGGTACCACTGTAATTCGTTGTCTGGATTTTTCAGCCCAGATCTGGTAAATTTACAGCTGGGCTGCAGAAAATGGCCGTGGATCCAGTTCATAAGTAGAGGCGGAGTTCACGTGTCGAGGTAAATTTTTGGGGCCGGAGCTGGTCGTATCTTGAAAAATTCATAAGGAGGGGCGTTCGTAACTAGAGGTACCACTGTAATTCGTTGTCTGGATTTTTCAGCCCAGATCTGGTAAATTTACAGCTGGGCTGCAGCTTGCCTTAAACAGAAGTGATCCTGCTGCATTGTGGTCTGTACATTGACACACGCTCCTCCAAGGAGGCATTCTCAAAAAACGGAGGTGTCTTCGTCAGCAGCTGTATCCGGCACTACTGGGTTCTTTGGTGCTCCAGGGAAAGGACTGAAGTGCAGCCTCGGAAAATCAGATTACGGGGCAATGGGCTTAGCCCCTTTTCTGCTCTTAAATAAATCTCACTGAGTTGGCAGTTTTAGTAGAGTAAAAGAAGTCTGGGCTTTGCATGCATAATATTGACATTGAGAATTATGATACAGAAGTATCACGTGCCACACTCCCTGTTCAGAGCGGGACACCCTGTTATGCTAATTTGTAACTACTCTCTGTGTTGTTTTCAGAGGCCCAGATCCACATGCTAGTGATTGGCCTGGGTGGTGGCAGCCTTCCCCTCTTCCTCCATGACCACTTCTTACAGTGCTATATTGATGTAGTAGAGATTGACTCTGCCATGCTGAAAGTGGCTACGCGCTGGTTTGGTTTCTCACCAGGAGACAGACTCAAAGTCCACATTGCAGATGGCTTAGTTTATGTTACCAGTCTTACAGAGGAAGGTAATGACTTTTCAGATCAATCCATACCAAAGCCATGATTTGTGGATCACGCACCTCTTCGTGTTGTTTATGTCCTTTTACTTTCTGAAAGCAAGTATTGCAGAAGTCCTGCAAAAATCTGTACAGCTCTTACTCTTTTGTATAGTTAAGAATGATTTATTCTGAGCATGAAATGATGCAAGAAGAAAAGGTTATTAAGCTCCCTTCTATTCCTGTAGCTTTAGTAGTAATACTTCTGTATATCAAAATTTGGAAAAAGAATTCCTGTAATACACTTTCCTATAGTTGCACCCTATGATGCTGTAAATCTGGTACTGATACAAAAACTGTTTTATTTTTCCACAAGGAACACAGAAGCATCTAGCTCTTGTGGTGTCAAAAATCTTTATTTAAATGTTGAGCCTTGAGAACCACAATGCTAGGTAGGTTATATAACTCTAAGGCTTGCATTTACAGCTGGGCTGTGTCCTCATCTGACACATGTGCATATGTATGTGTGCTGTAGAATCCACTTCTTGTTTTGGAACAATGTGTCTAAGCTATTCTGGACAGAAGTAAATGCTGTGTGTGGGCCATTACTTACCTTCTTGTTTATGAGTTGAATGCTGATAAAATAGACTGATCCAGCAAGACAGTTCTGGTGTTCTTAAGGTAAAATTACGACTATTACAGAAAGTTACAGATTATTTTAAAACTCAAATTGGTGTCATACAGAATGAAATTGGGAGGAAGTTCAAGTGGAGAAGCAGCAGTGAGAGCTAAACTTCTTTTGATGTTTACATTTTTTCCATTCTATAAAGGAATGAAACAGGTATCAACTGCAACTGTGTTCGTATCATAGTTAGGATGGTAACTGGAGGATGTATAGTATAGGTCAGAATATATGCAACTTCCAGTGAACCATGACCTGGAAATCATATGTATACTTAGCTTGTTTCTTTTTTCAAAAATCACATACAGTAGTCAGCTAAAATAAGTCTGATTATTGTGCTCAGTATGATATGGCAACTTTTTTTTTTTTTTGATGCAAGCAATATGCATCTGCTCCCTAGATTAATTTGTAATGAATTCCTTGGGGAAATGGGTTGTTTGTCTTAGAGGGAGATGGTTTATCGGAAGTTCTGGTCAGTAGATCTAAAAAAAAAGAAAGGTATGTGATTAAATGTATTTGTATAAAATGTTTCTCAACCGCCTTTGACTTTGGTTCTGTTTTGCAAAGTCTACAGCAATGATTAGCTAACGTGATAGATAATATCTAAAGAGGGAGATCTTGAGATAGATATGTTTCAATAACTGAGATAACATGGAGAAGATTCTGAAGTGCTTAAGTTCCTTGTGAGGGTATCCCTGGGTAGGGCCAGTCTTACTCAGTAGAAAATAAAATGATTTTTTAGATGCTCTTGGGCATGGATAGTGATTCTTTTCAGATATCTGGTTTAGTTTGCTGTCTGTATACTAGAATATAGAGCAGATAGGTTTGAAAAATAAATCTATTGTTTCCACAAATGTTATTGGCAACATGGTAAGCACTATTTATCCTCATTGATGTTTTCTGAGAAATATGCTCCCACTTCTTTCCTTTCCTTCCCAGCTTCATCATCTTATGATGTAATAATGTTTGATGTGGACAGCAAGGACTCATCTTTGGGAATAAGTTGTCCACCACCAGCCTTTGTGGAGAAAACTTTTCTTCAGAAAGTGAGGACCCTTTTGAAAACAGAAGGTGAGGACCATTCAGTATTAAGTGCCTGAGCAAAGTAGAATGATGAACTGCCTCTGTGGGAGCTCTCCTGTCTGTTTATTTGAATCTACCTGGTATGAATTGTTCTAGAATCAGTGCTGAGAGAAAATTTGTGAACTTTTAAAAATTGTTTGTAATCCTGCCGTAACCCATAGTATGATCAGAATGACATCTGTTAATAAAGAGATTCTTGTTAAACAAACAACACAGAAAGCACTGTGCTATGTCATGTCTTTACTGAATACATTGAGTCAGCATTTATTGTCTTTACTGGAAAAGTAAAGCCTAGGATAATGTACTCTTTTCAGGGGAGTGGAATTAGAAGTTCTAGTCAATAAGATGACAGTTGAGTGGGAGTCTGAGGGGGCCTCCTGCATAAAACTATACATTGGTTGCCACCATCAAGTCTGCTATTCATTACACAGGTGTGCAAAAGTGAATCATGCCCATATCACAAGAGATTTCTGCAGACCTCAGAAAAGGGCCGTTGATACTCATAAGGTTGGAAAGGTCTACAAAACTATTGCCAGAGATTTTGGCCTCTATCTGTCAATGGTTAGGCAGGTAATGTACAAATGAAGAAAATGTTGGTTCTCTGCTAGAGAACAAAAGTAATGAAACAAAGTCTTTTATAAACAACAGAGTCTTTATATCAACAAAAGCAGAGAGTAACATTGGATATGTTGATAGTTTGAATCAGTTTACAGTTTTCTCTAGTGACTAGAAAAGATGAGGTGGATTCTTGTACATTAAAAAAAAATGAGCGCAGAAGGTAAAAGGGGGATTCCACTGGAAGGGAATATCCTGTCATGTAGTCTCACTGATTGTAATAATAAGCCAAAATGTTCTCTCTTTCCCCTCTGCAGGCATTTTTATTCTCAATCTGGTGTGTCGAGACTCCTTACTTCAAGAGTCTGTTTTGGCTGCCCTCAAAGAGACTTTCCCTTTACTTTATACCCGGAAGATTGAAGGGGAGGTAAATGAGATCATCTTTTGCCAACAGCAGGACAAACTCAAATTATCTCCCAGAGACCTGCAACAGAAAGCTCAGATTTTGGAGAAGGCACTGCGGCAACCTGGGCAAGAATGGGATAGCACTTATGTCCTGGCAGATATGCTAGAAACAATAAGACTGCTTTGAGGACCTATGTATTCCTTGTCACAGCTGGAGTTGGAGAGAAGAAATACAGTCCACTACATTCTGAGGGTACTGTGTTATACCAGTTGCACGTCCATATTTGCATACTGGACAGTGATTGGCCATCAGCAGAAAAGTGGGAGGAATAGAAAATGCCCATTCTTTTATGACTGAATTGGAAACCCTTTCATAGAGAGATTTTGATTTTGAGATGAGGAGATGCCATAAAATGCTTCTCTGGAGCAAATCCTTGCTTTAGATTTGCCTGTTTTGTGTGGTAACATCGGCTGCAGACGAAGAATACCCCTTTGTTTAAAATCTTTAAAAGCTTCTGTTTTATATTTCATTACAAATATAAGGTAAAGCGAAAAAGAAAGTGGAATTTCAGAAACTGATATTTCTGAATACAAGATGGATCATAGTATTTATAAAAAAGAAAGAACAACCGATGAAGTAGATCACTATTTCAGTTTTATAGGAAAGTGCAATATTTGAGAGAATCCCTTTGAAAGTCTATCTTGTATACAAAGATGTTTGAGTTTGTTCCAGTGACACTGTCTCTTGCACCATACTTGTGAATGCCTTTCGGACACTTTTATGGGATAAGGGCGAAGCCCTTAGAAAGTAGAATTCTCTAGTTATATTTTGCATCATCGTCTGAGACACCACTGTCCAGACAGAAGCTTCCCTCTATTGTTTCTGGGCCTCTGTGACATGATCTATTGTGTAATTTGTAAAGCAAGAATTGATGACTTAGGAAACATGGAGGAGGAGCAAAAAAATTCTGAAAGCTGCCAAAATTGTAACAAAGGAAAATATAGTATAGCCAGGCTTTACATTAAAGAATAAAAGGAAGAAAAAAGTTTATCAAGATAAAATTTATTTTATCTGTATGCTTCACAGTCACTTCAAAGTGGCTGTGGCTGGCTTATGAAAATGTAGAATTAAATTAATACACTCACAATTTTGAACTGCCTTAAATTAGGTATCAAGCAAGGTCACTGTGACATAGTGCATGCTTTTACTTAAGGTAGAGTCAAAGAGCGTGGGCGCAATGAAAAAGTGTTATTTGGCTTGCCAAAGCAGCTCTTCTTGGCTAGTAAGATGGTGTTAGATCTTGTTCAGCTTGTCAGAAAAATAAATGCCTGGTTTTTATTCTTCATAGTTTCCTTAATTTCATGACACTTGTAACAAGAAAATTCCTTCTGATAAAAAAAGCACAGCTTCTGCAGGTTATACACATCTTCACTGAACATTATGGGCAGCAGAGTACTTCTAAAGTGCAGCAAGATAGCTTCCTTTCTACTCTTTTCCCACCCCTGTCCCTTGGCAGGGAACCAACCAGTCTCTGTAGAAAAACTTCCTTTCCCTCTTCTATCCTGTTCAAGGGAGTACCTGGTGAAAAAGCAACTAGCTCATCGTGTTCCATCAGTCTTCAGCAGCCACAGTATGGTATCTAGAAAGAGCTATCCTCTTAAAACAGTGTTGTCCAAACTTGGCCACTTTAAGATGAGTGGAATTCAATTTCCCAACATGGCTGGCTGGGGAATTCTGGGAGTTGAAGTCCACTCATCTTAAAGTGGCCAAGTTTGGACAAAAGGGAGTACCTGGTGAAAAAGCAAGTTGTCCAAACTTGGCCACTTTAAGATGAGTGGAATTCAATTTCCCAACATGGCTGGCTGGGGAATTCTGGGAGTTGAAGTCCACTCATCTTAAAGTGGCCAAGTTTGGACAACACTGTCTTAAAAGATGCTGGATTGGGGTTGTGTTTTAGAACTGCCATTTGGCCTTTGCCAATCATTTTATCATGAACAATCAACAATGGCAGTTTCCTATTCCTGTTGAAACAGTGCTTTCTGGGAAATGGATGCTCCTACTCTGTGATGATGGACCTGCTAGACACAATAGTTGTAAAGTGCTAAATTAGACAATTCAGGTACAAACACATCTCTTCTTTCTGGGGTGTTTTCAGCCAAAACACTTCTGCTAGTATAAATTAATTGCTTTTTCTGCTGTAATCAGATTTGAAACTGCTGCAGTTTTACTTTATCCCCCATTAATAGATTTTGCATGATTAAAAAAAATACAAGTGGAAGGAAAATATTTGGGGTTTTTAAAATTGTACCTTTAATTCATTCAATAACCAAAGTTTACAATAACCAAAGAGTTTTAATAGTAATAGTTACAAGGGCTGTACAGATTTTGAAAATGATTCAGAACGCTTTGGTCCTCATGTGAGCTTAGCACCTCTCTGTTAATTCCTTGAAACAGCCTGACATTTTTCAAGCTCTGTTGGAAGCCTGAAAAATGTGCCACTGCTTTAAGAGCTACGTTAACTTTAATAAATAGATTCTTTAAAGCAGCAGCAGCACCTTTAGAAAACCTAAAACTGAGAGAAGAATGCTTTAGCCTAGAGCTGAACAGTCATCAACTGAATGACTTTTTTTCCAAGAGAGAGGGCCTTGTATATAAAGGCCCCTACAAGTAAGAAAGCCTTCTCCCTTGTAACCTTGTAGATACACATGGGAGGAAACACCCAGCCTTAAAACCATCAAGGACTTTAAAGATCAGCAGTAACACTTTTTTGGGGGCCCATAAGCATACTGACCACCAGTCAGCTGATAGAGCATTGGCCACACATGAACGTACTGGCCAATCTCAGTAGCCTTGTTTTGGACTACTTGAATTTTTAAACCATCTTCTAAAGTAATTATTGTACACTACATTGCAGCAATCCCCTTGACAGGCTATGAAAGCATAATAGTGCCAAGTGGTCCTTGCTCAGAATGGGAGTTGCCCGAATGGCAGATTCAGACTGTCATTAGAAAGTCCATCTTGACACTGCATTTGTGTCAAGCTTCCAGGATAATGTATTTAATTTCTATCTAACAGAGCTAGGTAGGTACAAGATTCTTACTTGGCCAGACCTTGAAGAAATCAAATAACTAAACTGATAGGGCAATATCAATATTATCCCATATTGTTAGGGCGATATAGGATAATCCCAAGTGTATTTGCCAGAGGTTCTGTGTGACAACATAAACAGGTTAAATAATATTTTCCCCCAAATAATACGTTTTGGTCTTTGTGGTGGATATTGCTGAGGCTGTGCTAGCTATGGAAATAGCTGCTACTTAGAGCTGCCTTCTGGTGAGCAAAGTTCTGTATACAGTACTACCATGCTTTAGCCAAATTCTAATCCTTCAGGAGCAAAAGAAAGAAAATGTTAAAATATGTTTTTGAGTAAAAGCAATGTTGAGCAATATGGGCTTTTTTCCCATGCCATGATGTCCCAGAGTTAATTTAACTCAATTTTTTGCAGTTGTGCCACATACTGAACCATAACGTTAGCTAACTACATGGGGTCTGTAGGGAAATAGGAATATTGCAGACAACTACTGTTATTTAAGATTAGAGTTAGGGATAGGATGGAGGTGTTGTCAAAAAAGCTGTATAGTCTATATGTATTTTGTGTGCTTGCTTGCTTGCTGGTTTTTCATCTATTGGAAAAGTCCAATATTGCTAAGAGCTGTGACCTGTATCTGTTCTTCCCTGCACATGATGTAAACACTTTCCTAATGATCTGATATAAGCTGGTAGTAAAAGCCTCCCAAAGGTAATGGTGAATACAGTATCCAGGGTCCTGAGAAAGTTTGTATTAAAATGAAGCAGCTGGATTTTTCTTTAAACTGTATTGTGGGGCAAGGTCTAGATGTTTGCCATGGAAAAATGCCAATGGTCCATCCATTATTATTCAGCATTGCCAGCCTTAGAAGGAGCACCAGGTTACCCTTTCTCTGTTTCTGCTTCCACGCTTAGTCAACATCTCAGGGCTTCTGCTTCATATAGTCAGCACTTTTAACAATACATCAGCTCCATTTTGTCCTCACACTGTTCATAGCCTGACAGAGTACTGGGAACTATTTCATTGTGGCTGGTGCATGGTAAACTAAAATGGGGTTCACTATGTTAGGTGTTGTGCAAACCCAGCCTATCAAATCCAGCCTTAGGTGTAGCTACAGAAAGCTCCACCTAAGTAGTGCATCTTGCAGTTGCTGCAACAATTGTAAGAATGAAGGTTGTGTCAATACTAGCATATCCTGTTAATGAATCAATGGCCACTAGACTCCAGGGCACAGTGTCAAATAAGAATTCAGTAGTTAAATAAGTGGGAGCCTGAAGAATTGTGATATACCATAGATTTATTTTTGATGTAACACAAGTCACTGAAAAATAAAAATTAAAGAATATTCTGACCTCCAATGACAAGAACAGCAGAGGTAGGGATTTTTTAGCAAATTTCTACAACCTTTGGATTACATGTTTTTGTACAGTTTATTACACAATTTTGCGTTAAAGAAGTGACTCAGAAAATAATTATAAATCTCATGGGGTAGGGTGGAGAGAGTTTAGACATATTTTGCCTATTTCATTTAAAATCTAGCAACAGACTAGAGATGTTGGGCTTGACACAACATTTTATTTATAATACCAGGGCAACTAATAGCCATGAATTCTATATACATTTTTCAGAAGCTCTTTCTTACTTCCCAAGTAGACACAACAGGCAATCTCTTATGTTAGATATCAGCCTTTCCAGCTAAAGAATCCATCTTCAGAAAAGAGTTAAGAAAGCACTGGTTAATATTTTGGCTTTTGAATCATAAGAACTTGCTGATCCCATTGATGTGAACCTTCAGTCTTGCTCTCAGGGCTAAACTAAATGTTAAATAAAATGAAAGATTTAAGTGTTGTTAGTTTTTTCATTTTGTTTGTGGGAATTTTGCCAGTTCCCAAAAGATTGGGAAATGGGGGGAAAAGAGTGATTTGGCTGACTTACTTTTAATTTTAATTTGCATGGTGAATCAGTATAATAAGAATATATTTTCTCATGATGGAGATTGTTTGAAAAGGTGGTTAAATATATCCCCGCTTTGACTTGCCAGTGCCTTATTGGAGAAAACCAGAAGCTTAGAAAATAATAATGTGTATAAATATTTATAAATAAATATGTATAAATCCTCAAAAAATTATAACTCCTTTCTTGCATATTGCTGTGTTTCATAGTTAGCTGACCATAATGGAAAGAGTAGCATACCTAGAAAAATAGTGGAAATACAAATATTTATGCACAAAAATGAGATATTTCTTGTTTTGCTTACTTTTATAACTACTTCATTATGGATGAAATTCATTCAACTTCTTCTCTCCAAGGAATGGGTTTTCTGTAGCCACACCCAAGGCTGGTGAGATAATTGCTTTAGGTCAGTATGAATAGTTTTGTGGCATATTACTCACGTGTTTTAAAGGGCCATGCTATTCTGTCTGTCTGTCTAGCTAGCTAGCTATCATTTGCTTAATGTAACGATGGGTAGCTTAAAGTTCAAAAATAAACAGAAGTGTTAGAAATGCTCCCTAATGTAAGGAAAACCATAGTAAGGGCAGTTAATTTTCCATATACAGGATCAGCTTCTGACTTAGCAAACATTGTATAATCAGCATGATAGCTTTTTTATTTGAACTCTTGATGGTTGTTCATAACCATGTAATTAATGACTACAGTGTTCTAACATCAGATCCTCAGCTTTCAGTGCTCCTTAACATGTCTCTCTGTGTTCTTATAACGTCTCTCACCTTGTGTATCCATCTTCTATGCAGCAGGAACACATATGATCAGGTCATCAAACAATTGCTGCGACTTATGTGTCCAACATTGTGATGCAAATATCTAACAATGACAATTGTTGTCGACTTGACCTTATGAGATGTGTTAGGAAGTTGGGAATAGAGATAATTGATATAGTAGCTGCGAGGGGAAATTTGGTGGGAGGTAGCTTACATTTTAACATTTTATTTTATTGTACTGAACTAATTAGAATAGAATATTGGGGGTACAAAAATCTGAGCAGCCACTAGATAGCAGCAGAGTGATGCGAAGAATATTAATTCTGCTGTCATCTAATAATAATGTGGATTTTTGCAGTCTTCATATAGCATACCTAGAACTAATTAACAAAAGAAAAATATATTTACATCAGTTATAAGAAAAAATGGATGTCAAATAATGTTATGAGCGGCATAAATGTTTAAAAATTGACCATGTTACTCAAAAAGTCTATTTCTTTAACCTTTTGTCAAAAAAATAATCATACATTGATAAAC